CAGAGCAAGGCTTTGGGCATGTTTTTTGTTAGAGTATAACATTATAACATGATATAAAACTCAGAAAAGCTGATTTTACATGGTATTGCCCCTTTAACGGTTTGTGATCACCTGTGTTTAAGTTTCCATTCCGGCTCTTTCTATACACATTTGTGTGTTTTTTGTGCCTTCAAGGGTTTTTCGTTGCACACTGACCAGCATCCCTCAGACCCAAGCTCTGCTTAACAAAGCGAAGATGCCTCTGGGCCTGCTGCTCCACCCGTTCAAAGACCTCTCAGTAAGTGCTGAAATTTAATATTTAATGTTCGTGCTTGATCCATTCCCTGGTCAGTTGATCTGGAGGACCACTAAAAATATGTCTGGATTATCTTTGGTGACATCATATTTTTCTGGCTCGTTAGCCTTCTGATGGAGAAAATACGTTTGAAGACTTCATTTCTTTTTTCATCTAAATGAGATCAAACAGCATGTTTTAGTTCAGGGGGTGAAAGGAAAATGTTTTTGATGCCAAAATAATCATTCCAGCTTTAACTGGTTCATCCACTGTTCTACAGGATTCTGTGAATGTTTAATGTGTTTTTTTTAACAAAGCTAGAGTTTGAGGGAAAAAAAGCATCAAATCCAAGTTGTATATTTGCTTCTTGCTGAAGGCACTTTGGCTTTTTGTTTCAAGTACTTTGCATGAGGTTTAAAATTGAGCTGTGTTGTTAAATCATATTTAAAATTGTATCAATATTTTAACGAGAGGAGATTTAAAGTGAAACTATAAATTTATGAATACTTGATTTAGATGCTAATAAGGCTGTTTATCTAACTGCAGTCCTATTCTGAATTCTACTTTAGATTCACCAGAAATATCTAATTTGAATTGATTAAATAGTGTCCTCCCACCTTATTTACAAAATAAGATGTGACTAAATAAGCCCCATGGCTTCATCTGTGCCAATCTGTTGCTTCCTCCATTAATTGAAAACAAACAACCGTGACGATGCACAGTTTAGACACCAAACAGCCAGGAGCATTCAGGAAAATCTAGTTTGCTTTTCCTCACAAAGCTTGTGTTTTTTTTTTTGTTTTTTGTCCCTGCAGCAACTTCCCGTGGTGACATCTAGCACCATCGTCAGGTGTCGATCCTGCAGAACCTACATCAATCCTTTTGTCTCTTTTCTGGACCAGAGAAGATGGAAGTGCAACCTGTGTTATCGAGTCAACGATGGTGAGAAAGAGACTCGAGTGAGACTGGAGCGTCTGAAAGAACTGCTGTCTGTAGGAGCGCTGGGGTGTTTTTAAGATTTTATAAACTAAAGAAAAATGGAAAGGATGACTTGGCACTTTTTGTTTCTCCAAATACTCTATTTATGTTGCTTATTGTGAATTTATTGTCTAGCTTTAATCTCAAAGACTGTTTGGTTAATTCTATGAAAAAAAGATAAAATAATGTTAAATTATGAGTGAAACAGTAAAATGTAGCTATAAAATGTAATTTAAAGACCTGCCTGAAGAGGGAACAGCCAAAAGAAGCAGCAGTACATTTGACTATTATTCGTTATTTACATGTGGGAAAAACTATTTAATATGAAACGGTTTCTGGATGTTTATTTTTTTTAAATTTATTTGTTTATTTATTTTTTGAATTTATTGTGTGTAGTTCCAGAGGAGTTTATGTACAACCCAGTCAGCAGATCATACGGAGAACCACACAAAAGACCCGAAGTCCAGAATGCCACTATTGAGTTTATTGCTCCTTCAGAATATATGGTAGGTTTAATCTTTTTGTTTTAATAAATGTTTCTACAAAAGATGTCCTTGTATGTGATTTATATTTTTTTAAACGTATATGTTTTTTTCCCAGCTGAGGCCACCACAACCTGCTGTTTATCTGTTTGTTCTGGATGTATCCCATAATGCAGTGGAGACGGGCTACCTGAAGGAGTTCTGTCAGTCGGTGCTGGACAACATTAATTCGTATGTGGGAGTAAAATCTACTAATAAAGACATTTATAACTAAACACTCAGTCCCACAACATGGAACAGATCGGAAGTATTTGTATATATATAAAATAAGTTGGCGCACACAAACATCGGACATATTTATTTGGCGTTTGCTTCTTGCATAAATAAACCAAGCTGGGTCAGTAAATGGCTGCTGCCAGAAAGCTTTTCACAACCYTAGCAGTGAATACTCTGACATAAAGCAACGCTCTGTCTGAAACTACGTTTGTCCCTCAGGCTTCCTGGAGACTCGCGGACAAAAGTCGGCTTCATAACATTTGACAGCACCATCCATTTCTACAACCTCCAGGAGGGACTTTCTCAGCCACAGATGCTGATTGTTTCTGARATTGAAGGTGAGACGCAGCTGTCTGTGACGACCACATTTTACAGCAGCTTTGAAACTTATTAAAACCAGCTTTAAATATGAGTCGGAGTATCATCTGTTTAGTTTAAAATGCTGCATTGTGTGCTCCACAGACATCTTTTTACCAACACCAGACAGCCTTCTAGTAAACCTCAATGAATCCAAGGAGGTAAGATGTTGAGTCTTAATGTGTTCAACTTATTTAGATTCTGTGAAGTCATTTACAACATTCAGAAAGCTCCTTTTGATTTCTTTGTTCTTAGCTTGTGCAGGATCTGCTGAAGAGCCTGCCGAGTTTATTTGAGAAGACCATGGAGACCCAGTCTGCTCTGGGTTCAGCTCTACAAGCAGCCTTTAAGTTGTTGTCTCCCACCGGAGGACGCATGTCTGTGTTTCAGACCCAGCTGCCTAACCTGGGTGCAGGGGCGCTCCAGTCCAGAGAGGACCCCAACCAGCGAGCATCTGCCAAGGTAGAACTGCTACGTTTATTCTGGAAAGTGTGTCAAACTCCAGATTTTACTTACTTATTTATTTATTTATTCACTTACTCACGTACTTACTTTTACTTGTTTGTTTATTTACTTACTTACTCACTCACTCACTCACTTACTTACTTATATGTTTGTTTATTTGTTTATTTATTTTCTTACGTACTTACTTACTCACTCACTTACTTACTCACTTACTCACTTATTTATTTACTCACTTATTTATTTACTCACTTACTTACTTATTTACTCACTTACTTACTTATTTACTTACTTACTTACTTATTTACTCACTTACTTACTTATTTACTTACTTACTTACTTACTC